TTTCTGCATCTGCAAGGTTGGACACACTGGCGATGGTTTGGTTTGTATCCCGAATGCTGACCCAGTGTATGGTAAGCCTTATACTCATCTATAAGTTGCATATTTTTACAATTTGAAGTTGTATAATTCAGTGGTCTCCAACGAGTGGTCCGCGGACCAGCGATGGTCTGCATAATTTTTTTTTTGTGCTGGTCTGCGGGAAATTTTCTCCAGCAAAATACAGTAAATCAAAAGTGATAAGGGATGTTGCCGCAAGAAATATTATACTGTATCATGAAAATTAAATGTTGGCTTTTCTCCATATAACACTTCTGACTCATTGTCACCTCATAAAATAAATTATTTACATTTTTCATCCTGTTAACCTTTCTTCAAGCCCACCTTTTCAATTTTTGAAGACATTTCACTATATCTGCTTCATTGGTTCTTAACTTTGCAAAAAAGCAAAAACTTTTAAAATAAACCCGTCATGAAGTGTTTCAGAAAAAACTTTTTTGAGTCTGCCAAAATTTTATGAAACTTTGCTAGTCTGCAGAAAATTTTGTGAAAATTTATTGGTCTGGAAAAATTTTCATGGAAATTTGCTGGTCTGCTGGCCCAAAAAGGTTGGGAACACTGCTATAAATTATAAGAGGATGGGAATTTTAAAAAATTGGCAGAGTTTTTGAGACATGGAATTGAGCTTCATTTATTGGAAAGGTTCACCTTTTATGGCCAAATTATCAAAAATATTCATTTTTCATAAATATTATACCAACAGTAACATAATCCATTTTGGTGAGCACACAGGAAATAATGTCCATCTGTTTTTGGCTTCTGTTATGAAATGTAACCCCAATTTTTTTTTTAATTACTTCTAAGTGAGGTTTAACCAAAAAGTTGTGATATAGAAAAGATTCAATTCCATTCATTGCAATATAATTGGCTAGGGATTAACTTGACATTTGAATGTGCTGGAATTAAGGTTTAACTCAAAAATTCAAAATAGTCCAAATGTATAACATGAATGATTTTTCTTTGCAACAGAATCTTGCAGAAGATCCAACATGTGCAGCCAACATGCAACATGCATGTATGATATACCCATGATGCAAGACATTTGTGTGTGTAATCCTGGTTACTTGGGAGATGGTTACACTTGCATCAGCAACTCCTCTCACTCATCTGAGCCTCTTCCTTTGTGTGAAAATGGCATATGCTATTGCTCAGAGCACCACTTCTATGATGCAGAGACCAGGAGGTGTCATCCAGAAATCCATGACCATGACTTGGGACTTATAAATGGAGGTATACTATACAGATGCTTAGTACCTTGCAATTTGACCTCTTGAAATTTGACATTCAAATTTGCAGAGAGGTTGATGTGCAATTTGACATCCACCCTGAAATTTTACCTGCAGATAGATGATGTAAAACATCAGATGCAATGTTTTATAGATTGAATTTGACATAGCGTGGTAATTTGACCAGGTCACAAATTGCCCCTAACCCAGCAATGGATTAGGGTTGAATTTTGGGGTACCACCTGTACTACAGTTCTTGTCTGATGAGTAATTTGTGTTGAAAATGGGTGGAATGGATTGATCTTGCAGCAGTGCAGTGCATTTTGAGGACAGACTGTGCCATGGATGCAGACTGTGCATATGATCCCAGTATTGGATACCAGGTGTGCAGGTGTAATCAAGGATTTGTTGGCAATGGCGCACATTGTGAAGAAATGCATGGTACTTGATTGTTTCTAGACCCTAAAAATCTTGACCACTAACACATTGAAAATTGATTTTATTGACAGATGTTTCCTGTGATGAGGTGAACATTTGCAGCCTGGATGCAGACTGTTTATTTCAACCTAGGAGTGAGAAATATGCTTGCGTTTGTAAGGATGGCTTTGTTGGGGATGGAAAGACATGTACTATTTCTGGTGAGTACCTTGAACTTCTGCTTTTTTTTTCGAACTTGTTGGCCGAACTTGGTTGATTCAGATTACTGCCAGAGTGACGTGGACTGTGACCAAAATGCAACCTGCAAATTTGATATCAATACTGTCAGAGATAGGTGTCAGTGCAACCCAGGATACCAAGGAGATGGTCTGAGTTGCAAACCCATTCCTGGTGAGTTTCATTCAAAATGTTCATTGCCTTTGTGGTGTAATGCATTTTTTTTCAATTTCCAGATGTGGGTTGCGAAATTGTAGACAACTGTGACAGGCATGCCACTTGCAGGTATGACATGGTGACCAAGAAATACAGATGCATCTGCAATGAAGGCTACTCTGGTGATGGGGCATCCTGCAAGCTGGACATGTTACCCTGTGTTGTGGACTCTGACTGTGGACCCAATGCTGAGTGTGTGAATCCATACCCTGATGAAAGGTCAGGATTCAGCAGAAGATGCCAATGCTCACAAGTGAGTTATTAGAAACAAACTACTAGATATAGATCAGGCAAATTCAGCTAATGAAATGCTGTACTCATTCATGCAGGGTTTCAAGGGAGATGGGTATGACTGCCAGGCAGCCCAGTCCTGCTATGTTAACCCAGCCATGTGCCATAGACATGCTGTTTGTGTTCCTGGACCTGGAGGACTCACACATAGCTGCTGGTGCAATCAAGGTTATGAAGGGGATGGCTTTGAATGTGCAGGTGTGTTACATCAGCAGTCAGTCAACAATTTAGTGCCACCCATCAATTTTGGACCACATACTTCATGTCAAAAAATTTATATACAGTGTATTACCGTATTCACAAAAGTACCACGCGCCCTCCAGCAGTAAGGCTTGCGGAGGGGTTTTTGAGTTGGAAACTTTGCTAAAATCTTATCCCCAAGTAAGATGCGCACCCTAATTTTTAGTGAATCTGAAACCACAAAATTTTTCAAATAAAAACCAAAAAATTGACTTTATGCATGCATTTGAACAAAAATCTCATCAATTTTCAACTTTTTCAGTAAAAAACGCTTTCTTGTTACATCTGCTCAAAATATCTCCATTATAATCAAGTATAATGCACACATAACTTCCTAAAACTTCTTGAAAATTTTGTACCCACTTATGAGGCGCACCCCTTTTTTTCTTCTGAAATTTGGGAAAAAAGGTGTGCGTGGTACTTGAGTAAATACGGGATGTTGATGTGTTAAATGCAAATGCCCAGAATTAGTGCAATATTTTTTCAGAGCCTGGAAATGATCTTGGGCAGATTGTAGTACTGAAGGTAGATTTGACTATAACTAAATTGTAAATATATAGTATATGTAAGGCTCATAGTTTTAAATGATCCAAAAATCATGTCTGTTTTTTTTCATGCAGAGACTGTGAGACCAAAGGGAGAGGCCATGTTTGTTGCTCAAGGGATGTCAGTACTGAAAGTACCACTGGAACCAACCATCAGTGATTCAGGAGCACCCATATTGTTGGATCCATTACAAACTGCAGTTGGCATTGATGCTGACTGTGTGCGCGGAAAGATATACTATGGGGACATTTCTGGTGGCTCCATCTGGTCCGCAAACTTCAACGGATCTGACAGGAAGGTTTTCATAGAGA